TCTCTCCTCGCGCTCTCTCTGTCTCTGTCTCTCTCTCCTCTCTCTCTCTCTCTCTCTCTCTTCTCTCTCTCCTCTCTCTCTCTCTCTCACTCTCTCCTCTCTGCCTCTCTTCTGTTCTCCTCTCTCCTCTTCTCCCTCTCTCCCTCTGCTCTCTCTCTCTCTCCCTCTCTCTCTCTCTTTCTACCTCTCTATCCTCTCCCCCCTCCCTTCTCTCCATTCTACTCCTCTTCTCCCTCTCTTCTACTCTCTCTCTCTCTCTCCTCTCTCTCTCTCTCATATACTCTCTTATCTCTCTCTCTCTCTCTTCTTATCCATTAAGGAGGTGCTCCGACCCCGATTTGCGGCCGGGGGTTCCTGATCCCTGGCTCGGTGTCCTGACCAGGGGCTTACCTAATCAGGACGACGAGCCTGTTATGATGGGTGCAGGGCAAAGCCCTCCCAGGGAATCCTGCACTCTGAGGTTACGTGGTGGGGGGATAGCCCCCACGGCTCCCACTCTTCCTCCTTGGGAGGCATGCCTGGTTGTGCTGAGGCGTCGCCTGGCCGGAGCCCCACAATGTAGCGGCCTGGAAAATCCTCAGTCTCTCGGAGGATGAGCGACTGCCTTTGTTGTCGGGGGAGCTGGGGAGGCTGGGGATTGCCATCGCTGCTCTCTCTGAGGCTTGACGGCCTGGTAGTGGTGAAACCAGTAGTGGGGGTTATACCTACTATTGGTCTGGCTGTAGCAATGGTGCACACCTTAGGGGAGTTGCGGTGGCTGTCTCTTACTGCTTCCGTTCCTCAGTCAATAAGCTTACCCCTGTTGACGAGTGTATTCTGCTTGTGAGAATGAAGCACACTTTGGGCTTCATATCTCTAGTGGCGGTTTACGCTCCTACTGAGGGAAGTGGGCTTGAAGAGAAAGAGATGTTCTATGCCAAACTTGACTCTATAGTGGATCAATGTCCCTGGGGGGACACCCTCATGGACTTGGGGGACAACGCAGTCACTGGCACTGACAGGGAAGGATACGAGCTATGCATTGGTCCCTATGGCTCTGGTACTAGGAACATCAATAGCTCATACCTCTTAGACTTTGCAAGATCTAGGAGGCTGAGGATTGCGGGTTCGTGGTACCAGAGATCGACCATATTCTCGTGGATACTCTCTGGAGGATCCTTCAGAACTGAAGAGTTTTTAGGAGTGCTGTGTTCTTTGCTACCGACCACAGACTTGTTGTCGTAACACTAAATCTAGATCTAGACACATCCCGAGATCTCACCAGTAGGTGTTCCATCTCGAGAGGCTCAAGAGTGAGGAGGTGGCTCAGGAGTATGCAATGGCAGTCTTAAATCATTTTGAAGTGCTTGGTACTCTACAGGACTCTGCTGAACTGTGGGATACCTTTAAGCGAGGAACTCTGTCAGCTGCCGAGGAGTGCCTTGGGGTCCGACCTCAGCGAAGGAGGCGTGTTGTCTCAGACGAGACACTGAACACTATAGAGATGAGTCGTGCTGCCAGACTGGATGGGAACCATGTCTTGCACAGGGAGCTGTCTCGCTCTGCTAGGGTCTCTTTGAGAGTGGACCAAGAGAGGTACGTTAGGGGCATCGTGGAAATGCTGGAATGTCATTTTGCCCAAAATGACCTTCGACCTGCTTTCCGAACCCTGGGAACTCCGATCAAAGTCCATCTCTCAATTAGGCTTGGTGAGGGCAGAGGATGGTCGCATTGTGTCAGAGCCAGGTGAGTATAGGGCCCGCTGGGCTGAGTACTTCGAGCAACTGTATAGAGTGGATCCCCCATCTTCACAACTCCCGTTGGTTGGTACACAGCCACTAGTGGCTGATCCACCAATCAGTGAGGCACCACCTTCCATCGAAGAGGTGAGAAGGGCGGTCTCTAAGCTGAAAAGTGGAAAGGCTGCTGGTGTCTGTGGGATTGCTGCAGAGTTGTTGAAGGCGGGTGGAGAAGCCATGATCTATGGTTTGCATGCAGTCCTGTCTGCCGTTTGGGAGACTGGTACCATTCCCCCTGACTGGAAAAGGGGCTTGGTCATCCCTATCTGGAAAGGGAAAGGGGACCAAAAGGACTATGGCAACTAGAGGTATTACATTGCTCAGTGTACCAGGCAAGGTCCTCGCTCATCTGCTTTTGACACGAGCGCGTGACCACCTATTACGAGCACAGAGACCTTTTTGGATGTCGGTGTTCAATCTGTGGATGCCTGTGGCGAGAACATTGAGGTTTTGGATAGCTTCACTTATCTTGGTAGTGTAGTGCAGAGTGACGGAGGTTCCGACCGGGAAGTCACTCGACGGCTCGGACTGGCCTACAGCGTTATGGACTCACTCAATAGGAGTATTTGGCACTGTCGGTATTTGACTAGGAGAACTAAGATCAGGCTCTTCAGAGCACTGATGATCCTGTTCTTACTCTATGGGTGTGAGACCTGGACACTGAACAGTGCTCTGAAAGGACCATGTGTCCAATCAGAGGATACTCCATGAGACTGATTCAAGACCTATTACCAGTCTGATATGAGAGCGCCAACTTTAGCTCTATGGACATGTGGCTCGTTTCCCTGAGGAAGATCCGGCTCATAGGGTCATCTCCGAGAGGGTTGACCGAGGCTGGAGAAGACCAAGGGCAAGGCCACGGAACTCATGGCTGAAGCAAGTCGATCAGATCTGCCAAGATGTACTGGGAGTGGGAAGGAATGCTGCATGGAGGCTCGCTCGGAGGGACTCCAGAAGGTGGAGGCAAAGGTTGGGCGCAGCAAAGTGCAGCCATGCATATGCCCCCTAATGATGATGATGATGATATATATATATATATATATATATATATATATATATATATATATATATATATATATATATATATATATATATATATATATATATATTTATATATATTTATATATTTATATATTTATATATTTATATATATATATATATATATATATATATATATATATATATATATATATATATATATATATATATATATATATATATATATAAAATGTATGTACACACACACACACACAAGTGCTTAGTCACCAAGGAGTCAGCTATCAGGCTTACCTATCTCATCTTACCTATCTTACCTATCTCGTGTTGAGCCTTTTCTTTAACCCATTCCTGACGGGCATGGGTTAATCTTTTTAAAGATTCATTTCTACTATTTTATTGTCTTTGATGTTATTAATATTTTAATAACAATTTGGTAATCATGATATCAATAAGAATGATAACAATGTCACTATTAATAGTATTAGAATGAAAAACACATTCTCCTGCCAATCCAATTAATTGGGAAATCAGGATCAGTCACTAGGGCCAACTGATAGACTCCTTGCTGGCTTAGCACGTGCGGAGCCTCTGTGTAACAAAACTCACTAAACTCTAAAGGGTCTGTACATAAACTCACTGACATTGGGTTAATGAAAGTCTCAAATTATGTGTTTGATTGATAACAGGAAACAACATAAAATGAGTAATCAATGTTTTCTATTTGCATATTTCTTTCAGTGTAGATATTCCCTTCACAGCCTTAGGATCTCTTTATAAGGATCTGCGTGAGAAATATGAACCTCCAACATTTGCTCCAGAGGAAGGGTATGCAAGCCACAGTGGTGAAGAAGAGGGCAAGGCACATAATGCTGGATATGATGCATTCATGACTGGAGTCTGTTTTGTGACAATGGTGAAGAAGCTAGGTAAGGAATGACAGTGCTAATTTAATATCAGTTTTACATGAATACTGTAAAGTTTTATAATTTCCCCAGTAAGCTTCTCTTTGAAACCCTAATGGCTGAATGCTTGCAAAAATATTCAGATAGGCCCTGAAATTGTTGTGTAGAATTTTTTTTAGATATGTATGTTAATAATGCAACTGAGTTAGAAAATATTATTAACCAGCTAGGTACAATTATGAAACAACCCATAACTTGAGTTTGCCTTGGTGATCCTTCTCCCCATCTTGGGATGATCCCATTAAATGATATTTTATATCCCAAAATACAATACAATTTACATATATATGGGACATAAAGATGTAAATAAATTAGTGAAATTAATATCCATTTATGCGCCTATGCCAGATGAAAGCTGTAGGAAATATTTAAAAATTGTGCACCAATGCCTTTTGAGCCCATATGTAACCAGATATTGTGAGAACACCTACCTATCTATGTTTATTTAAATTCACTCATAGTTTCAGAAGCCTTTAAAGGCAGTGTAGGTTTTCTTTTATAACTGTACACTCTATATGGTAATTTTTACTTTTTAACTCTTAATTTTTTCTATATAGAGATTTTTATAATTAAAGCAATTTACAAACAAATTTATGTGTGAAAATAAGAAGTATATTTATGTCGCCCCTCAACCTTGCATTGACCAAGGAGCAATCTTTCAAACATTTCTTGCCTTGTTTATATTCCCCCTCACATTAATCATGGGTCTTCTGTCTCTAAGAATGGTGATATTTGTTATTTATGTAACTATTTGGATTTAACTCCAAGATGGTAACAGACTGTTTTGTTGAGCAGACTGCATATTCCTCTTGGTAGTCTAGAGCTCTGTGCAATAATAACAATAGATAACTCTTTTTTTAGTTGTGTAATTTTTTTATTGTATTATTCAGTTTCTGTCACATCCCCTGCACTGCAGAAATAGAAATCTTCCTCTAAGAGCTTTTGTGAAACATGTCATTCCCATCACCCTGGCTCTCAGCCATATTTTTTCATAATGACGGATTCCTCTCACCTGGCACTCAGCAAAATTTTTCATGATGTGAAGGTCATGTCACCTGGAATCAGTGGACTATTACAGAGTTGATAAATGTAAGATGCAGAGGATATATTTACTTCTGCTGTAATTATTTTTGTTGCCTTCTGTTAAGTCTCTTTTATTCCTATCAGATGGTATAAACTGGGCAAGTAAGTCTGTTGTGAAATCAAAACATCTGGCTCTGTATGCAAACAGGTGAGGATCAGTGCATTTTTATTTGAAATAGAATAGAAATTCTGTCATTCTCTTTCACTCACTCACTCTTGCTTTCTCTGCTCTCTCTTGCTTTCTCTGCTCTCTGTTCTTTGCTCTCTCTCTCTTTCTTTCTCTCTCTCTCTCTTTCTTTCTCTCTCTCTCTTTCTCCCTCTCCCTCTCCCTCTCCCTCTCCCTCTCCCTCTCCCTCTCCCTCTCCCTCTCCCTCTCCCTCTCCTCTCCCTCTCCTCTCTCTCTCTCTCTCTCTCTCTCTCTCTCTCTCTCTCTCTCTCTCTCTCTCTCTCTCTCTCTCTCTCTCTCTTTTATATAAACTTTATTCCAAAAGTCACATGGTCTGTATAGTATAGTTAATTTTGTTGATCTTATATGTGCTTAAAAAGTTCCATTAAATGTAAAATTATCTATAGCTATTATTTAAAACTCAATCCTGATAAAAGAGAAGTTGGTCTAACTAAAAAATTACAATTGGTAATTACTTAGCCTGGTTCATGTTGCAATCTCCAAGCATTCACTGCTGTCTTGAACAGCTGTAATGTGTCGAGATAAAGCAGGTTAGTTTGCTTGGCTAAAATGTCCCACATTCTAGAAAATCTAGGCAGGAAGGACTGCAGATAGAGCTCTGTTCTCGTGAAGGGAACCTGGACTTCTTGGACTCGATTACTGGCATTTCTTATCCTGCACGTAGGTGTGTCTGCTGGTGGAAGTTGTAGTGATATCAACAGGGAACTATTTTGTTTATGTATCTTGTAGAAGACGTAAAGGACAGCCACATCTCCGATGTTGAAGGGACTGAAAATGTTCCATTCCACTTCCATTCTGTTCTGAATAGTGTCCAGGAGAGCAAGATGAGTTGGTGGGCAGGATAGCCAGGCGAGTGGCGAATACTCCATCAAAGAGTGGATTTGGGAGTTGTAAAGGATTGCGCATCCTTTGCTATCTAACAGAGGAGTGATGTGTCATATACAGGCCAACTTTCTTGCTGTGTTCTCTGCTAACTCTTTGACGTGACTGGTGAAGGTTAGGTGATTATCAATCTGCACGCCAAGAATCTTGATATCCTTGCTAATACTGATGGGTTTGTTATTTAGCTTTATGATGGATGTAAGGGTGTTGTCCAGTGTCTGACATCTAGATATAACCATTGCTTGGGTTTTATCTGGTGCCAGAGTTACCTGCCACTTTTTACCTCAATAAATTATATAGTCAAGTGTGTCATATATGTGTCCAGCTGCCTCTGCATGGCTTTGGGTATCACAGGTAAAAGTGAGAGTGCAGTCGTTAGTGTAAGCATAAGCTTCAGGGATGAGTTGCAGGATATCATTAAAGTAAACGTTCCACAGAAGTGGTCCGATTACACTGCCTTGTGGTGCACTGGTTTGAATGGGGAATTCACTGGATGTGAAACCATTAACCCATTGCTGCCGGGGATGGCATGTACGTACATGCCATGCCCACTGTGAGTCAACTTGTTTGATTGTTTATAGACATAGATGGCTGCACTTGTACTAAGTCACCAATGAGCCAATTACAGTACTGCCTGTCTTGCCCGTTCACCCTTTTCATCGATTTACGAAAATATTTGACATTATCCTAATTTGCTGTTAAAATTAACACCATCTATATTTATAGCACTAGTAAGAATACGTTTTTTCCCAAAAATATTTCACAAAAATATAAAAAATAAGTACAGCATTTTCCCCATTTTTTGTTCATTTTCCCCGGCGGCAATGGGTTAACAACAGCTCGCAATGTTCTTTCTTGGAGGTAGTCCTCGTGTAGCATTAGTAGATTGCCGTCAATTCCAAAACTCTTTAACTTTAATACAAGGCCCTTGTGCCACACTTTCAAATGCTCTTGCTATGTTGAGTGCAGCAGCTAGCTGCCAGCTGCCTAGCACACCTGTGAAGTGTGTGAGGACTGACTTTATCAACCTTATTTAGATGCTGCCTGACTTCTGCTTCAGTGATCACGAAAGATCTCAGCTTCGAGTGAGTCTTGAGAGGCAGACTAGGAGAAGGTCGGTCAGGGTTATGTACTATCATATTTTTGGAGAAGAGCAAAGCCAGAAGTTCAGCCTTCTCTCTGCTGGAGGTTGCAACTGATCCATCAGGCTTGTTGAGAGGGGGTATGCAGTCATCAGGGAAAAATCCTTGTTGCTGTTTGATGCAGCTCCACCAGGCTTTACACTGAACGACCAGTGAGGTCCTCCTTCCATCAATTAATTGCCCATTTTTGGACAGCTTTCATTCTCCTGCAAGCCATAGCATGAACAGCTTTATTTCTTTGTGTGGGATGGTGCTTATAATGGTTCCAGACTCTCATTTTCTTGTCAGATGCAATTCTACAATTGTAGCCAAACCATGGCTGATCTGTCAATTTTGTCTTGTATGTTTTGTTAGGTACATACATTGCTTGTAGGCTGACTAGTAATTTGGTAAGGGCCAGTGCTTGTGTGTCAACAGTGCCAGTGAGAATGTCTTCCCAGGGTGCTTCTGATAATGCATCATACATG